AAACGAGGACTAGCAGAATATATTTGCGGACTAAATCAATATATAAGAATTGCAGTACGGGCTTGTAGACCGGAAATATTAAAAAAAGCGCAGAATATAGCATTAGATATAAAACGAGAGGAAAAAGCGTCGCAATTAGCTCACAGCTAAGCCAACCGATATTCAATACTACAAAATAATAGGAATTAAAACCCAAGTATGAATCGTAATCCTTTCTTAGACAAAACTAAACAGCATTTACCACCGCGGAATTTTAACATACCAAATACACAACAGACCCCGAAAAATTTGCACACTCAAATTAAATGTTTCAAATGCGGGAGTACACAACATCTCGCTAACGAGTGCCCATAACGAAATTTTTACATAACAGACCTCAATCGGGCCCCGCCCGACAGCATAGAATCTATCTCGCAAGAGATAGAGCAAACCCAGGAGTCGAACTCAGAATTAGAATCGGAGGAGATTATCGAAGATTCTTGGCCGATACCGGAGCCTCAGTGAATATAATAAAAAATTCAGCAGTCAAGTCTTTACCACAACGAGAAAAACGCAATGAAATCACRGGAATAAACCCAGAACCCGTTATTACAAATCACGAAGCACTATTAAGAACAAACGGAAATTTTCACATATTTATCGTTGTAAAAGATGATTTTCCTTTAGATAGTGATGGAATCCTCGGACGCCCATTTTTAGCACAAGAAAACGCACTTGTTGACGTTAAAAATCGCGCAATAATCTTCAGAGGGAGAAAGGTACAAAAACTTTCTGTATATCACGCGAAAACAAATAAAGATAGGTTAGAAATCCTAAGGCAAAATACACGTCTCGAACACATAAAGTCTCTTAACGAACAGCAAGCAATATGGAATATAATATCGAAATTTTCGGATGTATTCKCGCTACCGGGAGATCCATTACCATGTACGAATTTAACTTCCCATACTATTGAGACTACAGATAAAAAGATAATAAATCAAAAACAGTACCGCTATCCTCATTGTCACCAGACTAAGGTGGAAACTCAAATAAAAGAAATGCTGGATAAACAAATAATTCAAGAGAGTTCGTCACCATGGAACGCACCACTTTGGGTGGTACCCAAAAAAACCGACGCAAGCGGTAAAAGGAAGTGGAGAATTGTCATAGATTTTAGAAACCTTAACAAATTAACTAGGCAAGATGCCTATCCGACTCCTAATATTGAAGAAATCCTCGAACAATTAGGACGAGCACGATATTTTTCTGCGTTTGATTTAGCAAGCGGATTTCATCAGWTCCCGTTAGAAGAAAAAAGTCGAGAGAAAACTGCATTTTCTACGAATCAAGGGCATTTTGAATATTTAAGAATGCCATTTGGATTAAAAAATGCCCCTGCTACATTTCAGAGAATGATGGACCAAGCCTTGAGAGGTTTGATAGGGACAGTTTGTTTTGTATATTTAGACAATGTTGTAGTTTACGGAAGCTCTTTAAAAGAACATAATGAAAAACTTGAAATTTTATTACAAAGAATTAGAGATGTCCAATTAAAGTTACAACCAGATAAATGCGAATATTTAAGACAAGAGTTACAATATCTGGGTCATTTAATATCGTCTGAAGGAGTAAAACCTAATCCGGAGAAATGTCGAGCTGTAAAAGAATTTCCGCAACCTCGAAACGCGAAACAAATAAAACAATTTCTAGGATTGGCCGGATATTATCRTCGATTCATTAAAGATTTTAGCAAAATTGTCAGACCATTAAACAGATTGCTTCAAAAGAATGTAGATTTTGTATTTGGGAWAGAAGAAGAGAATGCTTTTAATACATTAAAAAATGAGCTATGCTCTGATAAAATATTACAATACCCGGATTTTTCAAAGGAATTTTGAATTTTTCGCAACGACGCGATAGGCTCGATCTTATCACAAGGAGAAGTAGGAAGAGATTTGTCATGCGCATACGCTAGTAGAACATTAAACAGCGCCGAACGTTATTATTCAACTACGGAGAAAGAACTGTTAGCAATAGTCTGGAGTATCAAACATTTTAGACCATATTTATTGGGACGAAAATTTAAAATAATAACAGATCACCAACCGCTTCAATGGTTAATGAAGAATCGAGACCCTTCATCGCGATTGATGAGATGGAGAATAATGCTTGAAGAATACGACTACGAGATAGTATATAAGAAAGACAAGTTAAACGTAAACGCCGACGCATTATCGCGCAATCCAATACTAAAAGTCGAGACTTTAGTTAGGAATATTATGCTCACGGAAGCCGATGCCCCAAGCATCTGAAGAGGATAAGATAGTGCTTTACGAGCTAGACGATACTGTAAACGGACACGAAGAGGTCCTCTTTCCCGAACCATATGTTTCGGTACTTAAAGTAAAGCCAGGATCAATAACGTTACCCCACGGAWACACGAATACTCACGTATATTTACGACACCTCGAGAGGGTCGCGRGTYAGAATAGGGAATCTATCCTAAAGAAGATAAAAACAAGATTCAAAGAAGATACYGAAGGAACAATATTTATACACGATGTAAATTTAATATTAYCTGATAAAGAGGATATAGGAAGAATTTTGAAGGAAAACCATGACTCTYCTGTAGGTGGAYATCGAGGTGTCCACAAAACTTATCTAAGAAYTATGAATCAATAYTATTGGAAAGGGATGCTCCAAGATATAAAAGAATACGTAGGGCACTGCGAAATTTRCCAAAGGACARAAGCTAATCGTAGGCCAACAAGGATGCCAATGGTAATTACAGACACKCYAACYACCTTTAACGAAAAAAWCGCTATGGACATTGTWGGACCATTAAAARAGAYACAAARGGGAAATAAATACATTTTAMYGYTGCARTGTCTACTTACAAAATATTGTTGGGCATRRCCCCTAACTAGTTACACCGCMGAAAGTTGTGCAGCCGCATTCCTAAAGCATTAYGTATGTATTTATGGAACTCCAAAGAAAATATTAACAGATAATGCAYAAAATTTTACATCCAAATTCATRAARGARTTTGAGAAACRRTTAGRGATCCARCATATAARAACTACAGSYWTACACCCCGAGAGCAATGGTAGTCTTGAAAGAAGTCACCAAATGCTAAAAGAYTATTTAAAAAGCTATTGCAACAAACAACAGGATAAGTGGGATGATTTTGTCGAATTCGCAACTTATAACTATAATACTTCCTTTCATGAGTTCACAAGATATACACCATAAGAACTAGTATTCGGAGCACCAYCAAATCCAATAAGTAGTCACACAAACTAGTTTAAAAACACATATGAAAATTACATCCAGGAACTTAGAGCTCACCTAAAGGAAATGCGTAACAATGCACGAGAAGCATTGAAGGAGGCAAAGAGGACTTCCAAAGAAAGATACGACCGATTTGCCCGTCCTAACGTTTACAGACAAGGAGACATGGTTTGGCTAAAACGAGAAAAAAGAGATAAAAATACCGGTCTCAATGTCCTTTTTGAAGGACCTTATGAAGTGCTTGACGTACCGAGTGACGTCAACATATTAATAAATGTTAAAGGGAAACCCTTACTTGTACATTGTAATCGATGCAAATTCGCTAACACTAATTTGTTGCAGGAATACTGCTAACCATAATATTGATGAGCCTTTTGCCAGGCCAATCATCCAGCAACTTACAGGAGAAGAAGCCTCCATACTACATTCATACGTTCACTACACTACCCGCAGTCTACTTGGAGCAACTAGGCGAGGTTCGCCTTTATCATTCTACGTGGACTCTGCTCGCATACGTCGACCTCAACGATCTCGAGGYCCATGAGCGTCACCTTATCCGAGGAACGACACTTGTTTTAAGAACTTGTAAAGACTGTCTTCAAAAAACGTCTATCCGCAACCTGCAGCATCAACTATTAACCACTTGCGGTGGATGCTACGCACGTCAACATGCTTTTGTTACCGGAACGCAAGAGACGTGTTACGCACGTCGTTGGGCGATTGTTACAGAAAGATAAATGACGTGCGTGGCACGTCCACCGTTCAGTAAAATTCTTTACCGAGGCACAGTTTCTGCTTGCTCTTCATCGTGTAAAGTTATCAGTATTGACTCCAGACTGTAAAATGGAAAGTGATAGCGAAAACAGTGATGTTATTTCTATAAATAAACGGAGAAGACAAGACAATGTAGAATCTGACAGTGATTTAGAACAAATTGTTTTTCCACGTCGGAGTCGGCGTAGAATTATATCTGACGACGAGGAAGATGTTCAGAATGAGAATAGAGAAAGGAATGTTTCATCCCAGAAATGGATTTGGAAAGACGCGGACAATATAACGCAAGTATGGGAATATTCAAGGATACCTAAAATACATATTCTTGTTGGGCAAAATGTCACAGCTTTGCAAATGACAAGAGAAGTATTAGCAGAAGACTCTTGGGAAATCATTGTGAGAGAAACTAATCGTTACGCCAGTCAAACACTCCAAAATGAAAACCGCAAATTACGAAAATTTGAAGAAATTTGGTGGGACACCAATATAGATGAAATACATGCGTATTTTGCCTTGTGCATTTTGATGTCCCAAGTCAAAAAACCTACTGTGCAGTCATATTGGTCAAAAAAAAGCGTAATTGAGACACCAATATTTCGAAAAACAATGCCCTATTGGAGATTTACACAAATTTCACGCTTTTCGCACTTTACTGATAACGAAGTTATAAACGATAATGACGATCGTTTATGTAAAGTGCGGAGTGTAATCGATTATTTTAATGAGAAATTTCAAAATATTTGCACTCCCGCGGAATACATTTCGTTAGATGAGTCGTTAATGAAGTACACGGGTCGGATCTCGTACAAACAGTATAATCTGTCCAAAAGAGCACGTTTAGGAGTGAAATTTTATAAGTTATGTGAATCCAAGTCGGCTTATTGCATTAAATTCAAAATCTACACTGGTCAAGATTTAGACAGAAATGCGAATGTATCTGTCTCTGAAAGCGTCACAAGGCTTATGTCCACAGTACTAACTGGTTACGAGCATACTCTATTTTTGGACAATTGGTATTCTTCGCCAAGCCTATTTCAAAAGTTACAGTCTAGAAAAATGAATGCCATAGGAACAGTGAGATGCAATAGGAAGAATATGCCTAAAGAACTCGCAGCTGCAAAATTAAAACGTTCTGACGTGATATCGCGCTCCTGTAATGGAATTTTGGTTGCAAAATGGAAAGATAAAAAAGACATATATGTAATGTCCACGAAACATACAAAAATTGAGATGGTCGAAGTGGAAAAAAAGAGGTGGAAAAATAATAATAGCCTTACAACAAAGCCTAACATCGTTTTGGAATACAATTAGGGTATGGGTGGAGTAGATCTGTAGGATAGTTATTTATCATCTTTTAAATTAATGAGAAAATACGTTAAAAGATATAAAAAAAATATTTTTTTACATAGCAGATATGGCACTGCTCAATTCATATATTTTATATCGCAAAAAAATGGAAATACAAAAATGTAAAAAGTATTCTTTTTCGAAGTTTCGAATCGATGTAGCAGAACAGATTTTAGAAACAGTATGTCTTCCTGATTACCAAAGACGTGGAAGGATGTCTGCTGGAAATGCTTCGAGTCGCTTACAAGCGAAGAAATGGGGACATTTCCCAAGAAATATACCACCTACAAACGCCAAAAAAAAATCCACAACGGAGGTGCGTAGTATGCGCTAAACATAAAAACGTAGTGAAACTACATGGGAGTGTAAAAAATGTCTGGTAGCTTTACACATTCCAAGTTGTTTTGAAAAGTATCACACCATACAAGATTATTAATAAATAAATTTAGTAATAATACAGATGTAATTTTATCCTTCTGCCTCTTTATTTTTTCTTCTGGAACCCACCCGCTGATCGCTGCATGAACGCACCGCGAAGTGATTCCCGCTCGACTGTTCTGGCACGCGCAACCGAGAATTTCCTTGCACCGCAAGTGATTAAGTGCTAAGGACAATCGCGAGCGACTATTCTCCTCCATTGGACATAAAGTAACAAGTACAGGCGCCGACGAGGTTTACTCGACCCGCTCGGCGAGATATGTAAAATTTTATTTGGCACTATGAGTGCCAGCGACGCGCAATATTATAACAGCGAAATAGATTTAGTACATAAGGATAGCAAGCGTAACGCGGAATTAATCAAAAATCAAACCCAACTAGTAAAGATATCTTTAGAAAAAACCAACGAAATGTTAATAAACCATAAAAATAAGTTAAGGGTCATAGAGGAAAATTTTAGCACTCTTTCCAAGCAGAACGCAAACGGTAGAGAAAATGAACAAATATTTTGTCATGTACTTGATTTAGAAGTAGCAACCACCGAGTATATACGAACCTTAGACTTACTCCACCAGGCAATCATAAATGCTAGAAGGGGTGACATATCTCCACAGTTAATTGAACCAGCGCTCTTAAAAGACGTCTTATTACAAATTAGATCAAAGGAAGGCTCCGATCGTTTACCGATAGAAATTAACGATATTAATTACTTTGAATATCTAACCGTTAGTGAAATAAGCATAGTGTCTATCAAAAATAGACTACTGTATCACATAAAAGTCCCCATCATGGAAAAAGATATATTTAAAGCCACTAAACTAGTAGTCATACCCGGTAGAAGTAAGGAAGGACGGTTCATCTATATAGACAATCAATATGAATACATTTTTAAAAACTTAGCTAGAACTGTAATCACACCCATAGACAAGGAATACCTAAAAGATTGTAAAACATTTGAGGGTAAATATATTTATAAAAGAAAGGCGGCCAAGTTTCTCACAAATATGCAAGGTGCATGTCTAAAATCAACTATAAATTCCGTAGATTACGTAGACGCCTCCAAATGCACACCTCACATGCTTGTCATAAACTCACTCACATTCATTGCCTTATCAAATGGCCGGTCTTGGGTTGCTATACCGCCYACCRAACAAGAAATAAAAATCATTTGTAATAATTTATTATACAGTACTACTATAAGAGAACCATGCATATTATCTATGAGACCTGGTTGCACTGCGGCAACAGATAAAGCAATATTAGACGCGCAAAGTAACACAAATAGTGAAAATCAAGAAAAAATCAAATTGGATATTATTCACTTTAATATAACATCATTACAAGACGATCTTAACAAAATCGATAATGCCACATTATATAGTCTTAAATCCTTAGAATCACCGAAGATAGACACATCCGACTTTAAATTATATGGCAAAAAATTGGACGAACTAGTAAATGAGGCTAAAATGATAGGTAATCATATGCGAACTCGCACTCTTATAGAAACAGCTTGGTACTAAATGCCTTATGTGTTATAGCCTCCTGGCAACCCTTTGTTTGTACATTGGAATCAAATGCAAAATATTCAAATTATTATCAAGATCAGCAGAACCTTGTACCGTAGTATATAACAACTGTTTCAATTCGGGGGGAAAACACAAGATTTCACAAGACACAGAGTGCTCTGTAGCTCTAGAAAGTATTAGGGACATAAGACCAAGACATATTCCGTTCATGTACAATCACCAATAGCGAAAAGAAAGCGTAGCTTCAGATTAGCCATTCCATTATCAGAATTTGATGAAAATTCTATATAAATCTATATTTTCATTCTTATC